CCCCAAAACCCCAAAACCCCAAAACCCCAAAACCCCGAGATTTTGATATTAAGCATAATTATTAGAAATCAAGATTATCATAATCTTTCAATTCAAAAGCATGTATCCTTTTAAGGCAGTTACACCTCTTTCCTTGACATCAGTTTCATAATAAATCGTGTGGTCATCTTATTTCCATAGGCTTACCTTCAGAGTCTCTCCTGGGAAAACATGAGCAGTAAACCGAGATACAATCCTCTAAATTTTGGTTGCATCATCATTCACAAACTTATCATAGGCAACTCTGCTTGAGTTTCCAAATGTGCACAATCCGTGTAAAATAGGTCTGTCAAATTTAGAGATGGCTGCTTTTCTAGGATCAATATGTAATGGATTCAAGTCGCCGTTCAATCTGTATAAGATAGCCTGATTAGGACTAGTTCTCTCCTCTGATTCATGATCAGGATTTCTCTCAGGCTTTTTAGGGAATGATGGTGATTTGTATGAACCTTTGTATCCGTAGCCAGTTAATCCTAACATTACATAAGTACTAATGACTCTTGAATGAACTTCCTATGATCTCAGATTTTGAATACTTTTCTCAACAATGAGCGAGGTAAACTTTCCTTTATCTTACATATCCATTATTTTTTCAACAACTTTATATTAATCTCCATTTTCTATCTATATAGGCTTTAGAATTTCAACATCCTCTTCTCCATGTAGGATTTTGAAAGGATCATGCTATGGGAAACCTGGTAGATTTAGGAAGCTTGGAAATTTATGTAGGGCTAGAGCTGCACTCATGCTTGGGAATATTTGGAAGTTTTGATCATTCTCATAAGTGAATCTAAAATGGGAGATGTTCATTGGATCTTGGCTGAATCCAACACTTAGAGCATATAATATTGAATCTCTGTGGTTTATGTTTACATTGTATTGCTCATAGACTTATCCTATTAGCTTTGTAGGGTCAAATGATGAAGAGCTTGTTGAGTACTTTCTAACTCCAAGATATCTTTTTACCTCTTTGCTTAACATATTTTAATTTATGCATATTTTGTAAAGTCTTATGCATATCTATCTTTAAATTTGATTAAAGGGGTTTTGGGGTTTTGGGG